TAAAGAAAGCCTGCCACTCCAGGAAGCTGGGAGGGTCCGCAGTGGCAAAGGCTGGAGTCCGTGACTCATGTGGCACTTGGGATGCATCCTTCATCCTGGTGTGCCTCTGCTCCTCAGAACCTGAAAGTGAACGTCTTTCCTGTGCTTCTTGGTGCCTGTCACTGGGCACTTGGCAGGGTGCCAGGTGTGTTCTCACCTTCATCTTCAGGAGGAGCAGCAGCGACCACATGTCACCATGCCTGCTGGCCAAAAGCTTGGTGGGAGCCGGGTGTTCTGCTCAGAGGTGCCCTGCCCAGTCCCCAGGATCTCTAGCAGATGCAGGAGATCATGGCACAGGTTCTGGCGACTTCTGCAGGCTCACAAGAGACAAGCCCAGTTACCTTTCTTCCTCCAGCTTGAGTTTGTTTTCCTTCATTTTGTTTATGGAAACACATTCTCCGGTGGTAGCCTGGGCTGGCCTGAACTTGAGAATCCTCCAGCCTTAGCCTCCCTGGTGCTGGGACCGCAGCTGCAGCTGCATTGTGCTTTTTAGACAAATCTCTGGCTTGGCTCAGGTTTCACTTATGGAGACACAGTATTTTGTTGGGGAGTTGGTCAAATAACAAAATCCCCTCCAAGGCTCTGACCCTTGGCTGTGCAAACCAGTCTCATGGCTGCAACCTCAGGCTATCCTGACCTCTGAGGTCCTAGCGACAGCCACAGCTTCAGTCAGAAGTCAGCTGCCAGTTTGTGCTTGACAAGCTGCAGGAGCTCTGTGGGAATGGCGCCTTGCTGGGATGTGCTGTGTCCCCAGAGTGCCTGGCTCTGTGCCCTGACTGGGTGAGGACAGGCTCCTTGGTGTCCTCATAGAGAGCATGCTGGCCTGTGTTAACTGAGAGCTGCCGTGAGCTGCCAGGGATGCCTCTCCAGCTCTCTGGAGTCACATTCTGATGCTGGCTCTGTGTGTGTGTGTGTGTGTGTGTGTGTGTGTGTGTGTGTGTGTGTGTGTGTTGGGGATTAGGGAACTTCCCTTCCCTAGAGCTGAAAGTAAAGGCCTTTTAAACTAGGCTAGCTTCCTGAGAAAGCTGGGAGGCCAAGGCTGGAGGTACCATGGTAATTAGCCCATCAGCAAGGCACCTGCCGCAGAAAGGTCATGACCCCTGCTGGACCCTCCCCAAGGCTGCCAAAGTCCACCCAGTGGGCTATAAAGTCAGTTAGACTCAGCATTAGGTTCTGTCTAGGTGTCCTGGACCATGATTATCATTGCCAAACTTTGGAGGCTGAGGCAGGGATCTAAGTTTGAAGCCTGCCTGGATTATATGGGGAGATTCTGCCACAAGCCAACCCAATCCACCAGGGAATGTCCTAAGGCAAAGCAGTGCGTGGGGCAGGTACTGCTTCCTGGCTAAAGAGAACCTGCTTTGGGGCTGAGAGGGATACACTATTCGGTCTGTGGTCTCTTGGAATCACACTGCAGTCTGGGCACACTCAAGTCCACGCCACTCCAGAGAAGGCTCAACACTGTAGCAAAAGGCCTGAGGCTGTGCCATGCTGCCTGAGAAGAAAGAGAAAAGGAGGGAACACTAACCCTGAGTAGGGGCGCTTGCTCGAAGATGCTCTGTGCCAGGGAGTTTCCATCCACTTTTGATTTCCAAATCCTCCAAAAGACCCACAGAGGAGGCAAGCCTGGGCAAAAAAAAACCTGAGGCTCAGCTCTGGGCTCCACATACTGCCCATCTGAAGGTGTCCTGCAGACCAGAATCGCAGAGCTGCCTATGGCCTCCTGGGCTAGGGACAGAAGACACAGGAATTCTGGGCCACCTTTTATTCTTCTTCTAATAGTGACAATGGCCACCATTCAAGAGGTGTCCGCTCAGTTTCTTTTGCTAACCTTCCCTCAGTCCAGCATTCTAAACAAAAAGGCAGACCTGAATCATGGAGATTTTCAAGGTTAAAAATCTTGTAATCTGCAGCACGAGGTTGATTCAACAGGCCAAATTAAAAAAAAAAAAAAAAAAAGTGCCACAGAACCAGGCAGTTGAATTAGATTCTGGGAACCCACACGCTGGAAGGAGAGAACCATCTCTGCACCTTGTCTTCTGATAGCCACATGCACACACATGCACACACCGTGCAGTGTGCGCACTCCCAAATAGATGGATGCATGCATGTATGCATGCGTGCGTGCCCCCTCCCCTCACTAAGTAAATTGTAAATTAAAAACATTTTAGCCAGGCATGGTGGCACACCCCTTTATTCCAGGTACTCAGGTAGATCTTTGATTTTGAGGCCAACCTGTCCTACACAGCAAGTTCCAGATCAGCCATGGCTAAACAGTGAGACCCTTGCCTTAAAAAAAAA